AGTTTGCCCGCAAAAAAATTAAATCGTTTCGGCTTAGTCAAAACTTTCCAGGCCGTTGGATTGCTAGAGGTCAAGAAGCTCCTATAAACTCCCCTCCCAGATCTCCCGATTTCAGCGCGCTTAATTTTTACTTCTGGGACCATTTAAAAAGTACGCTATATTCACCAGAAGTGAATACAATCGAAGAACTTTAGGAAAGAATTTTTAATATTTTTAACAAAATAAGAACTTCAGTGCAAACTTTACGGTATGAAAATTTTAATTCTATTAAAAGACTGCTGCTAAGTTAACAATAGAATGGTTATTTAAATTTAATTTTGTTTGTTTATATCGTTGCGCATATTGTTACCATGATTTTATTTAAGTCAAATTTATTCAAACTATAATGTATATTATTTAAGTTAATTTTAAAAAAATTCTTTCAACATTAGAAATCCTAAACTGATTTTTGGTAGACATTTTAAATCGGAAATAATTTATTTTATCGATATCTTAAATAACTCGGTAAAAATATAATAATATCTTTCTCATTTTCTCTCCCTCTCTCTCTCTCTCTCTTTCTATAATAACGCCTCAAATCAGCTGAAATCTGGCAACAATGTATCCCAAGGGGGCTACAATTAGCCTCTCCTACAATATTCCGAGCGAAAATTCCAAAGTCGATTTAATGCGCCAATAATTGATTTGAGATGCGAGGAAAAAAACGTCAACCAGCTCGTAAAAGCGGGATTTCAAGGCCTCATTAACCGTTTACTTAATGATGCTGCTTGCTTGACTATTTCTGTTTTTGTCCGCTAATCTAGTTGGGCCGGAACGGTAACGCCGGGTTATTTTTAGAGGCTTGTGGATGGTGGGAAATGACAAGGATTTTTCGGAGTGAAACAACGTCGGCCAGTCATCATTTGGCTTAACCAGCACAAAAAATGAGTCAAAAAAATGCAAAACGCCGGCGCCATTCCATAACGCAGCTCTTGTGTTCCGTCTCTCTCGCACTTGAGCAGTGCCATAGGAAGGCGCGGTTGTTGGCACAGTGCTTCGTTCCCAATTGGCACCTTGTCGGCTAAAAAAATGTCGTGTTTTTTTGCAACGCAAAAAGACAGTGGCGTTCATTGCCTCTTGCTCTCTTACTTCATCTGGTGTATTTAATGTTTAATTATGAACCAATACGCGGCCTCACTAATGTTCCTGGCGGCTGAAACGCGATTCCCATGATTCTATTCAAATATTGACTGAAGGAACGAAATAATTAGTCGAGTTAGGCCGAGTAATTAATATTTGCCGTGTATTCAATGAGTGCTCTTGGCTTAATTACATTAATTGCCGTGGCTTCTAGCCGGCTAAGCGGCCTGATCGATTGTTTGCCAAGTCGGTTTTATGCATATGAATAATTCCGTATTATTGGGGTCTTGAGCGTGACTTGCAGTGTAGAGGCGCACGGATGCCTCAAAACAAGAGCTTAATGCATTTTTAATAAGCATCATTATCGGCGGAACGCTCACAAAGGAAGTGATGTCAATTGAACGGGTAGGCGGGTTTGAACAAACGCCCCAAGTCTACGCGCGGCTTCATTTTCCGGGGAGTTTCTTTGAAAAGTCTCACTTAGTTTCGACGAAAAACGTTTCCAAACTCACCTCAGTAAAATCCCTATGAGACATTGCAGCACTAGAAATCCAACTGAAAAACTGAGTGAAACCACCATAATACCCGCCTTAGAGCCCGCTCACGTTGAGAGTTTCAGCGACAGTCGGAGTCGCGCCTCATTCCTCCGGAGGTGTTCACTCACAATCTTCGGCTGCTGTTGTCACATATGTACTTTTAACCTTAACCTCCGGTGAACTCGATGCAGAAAACGCGCAAATTCCACAGGGCAAACCGTCCGAACTGGCACTTGCAACTCCGCAACTGCACCTTCAACTCCGCCGAAGTTTCCCCGACTGATCTTCGCAGCCTCCCGCAGCTCAGATTGGAAAACAATTGCGCTTCTAACAGTTATTTACTTGTGCTCGCATTCTTTAAGGCCGGCCATCTTGCTGGATGGTATGCAGGTAATATTCTTGGTCGGCTGGTCGAGGTTGGGTGGGTTGGAGCGGCCGGATGCTGGTCGTTCCCATTGACCTGGCGAAGTTTGGTGTTGGACATCGGATTTATATTGGAAAGTTGTGTGGGGTCGACCTGCAAATTAATCAGTGAACTCCGTTCACAACTTTCTTGGAAGATCATGCGGGCCGGGAAATGTTGAGTTGCGGATGTGATTCCAGAGCGTAGCGCCGCTGGTCGCTCTCTCTCGCACTCATGGGGTTTGGGCGGGACGCGCGCGTTGCGGACCGCAGCTGCGTTCGATTTTGCCACCTTGGCGCCTAGAGTTGCGATTCTCCAGCAGAAGTTTTTGCATTTTTTTGAGGATGTTTGGGGAGTTTTTACTAGTTTTTGTGTCAGGAGCTGCGTGGGGTTGCCGGCGCGAGGGTTGAGAGCGAGTTTCGCCGAACCACGCCGCTCTTGATGGTGGCATGGAATCCAACCAAGGCGTCGTCGATGGGGGTTCTTCAGGTACCCGAGCGCTTTTGGTACCACGCCGGTGCGAGTGAGGTTCCTCTGGTACGAACGACAACGACGTGAGGTGTGAAATTGGCCGATAAGAGCTAAATAGGTCCTGGTAGGGGCTTTCATTAGCCGGTGGTGCCCGTGCTCATTAGTTCGATGGTCGTTTTAATGAAGGAAAAGCGATAACGCCTTCAGTGTTGTGATAACCGCTCAACTATCTTTGGGAAATTAATTGGCTAGACCATCTGCCTTTTGGTCTATTCGTCTATGCGTCCGACTGACGGTCTTGTTGCGTTATATTTATTCTTTGTATATACTTTCCTGATTCCTGGGTTTCAGTCATTTATTGTCTCTATTTATTAATCAAAATACTTTTCGGTGTATTTTAACACCATCATCAGTTTTTCTAAAATAACAGATAGTTAAAACAATTTTTTCATTAATTTAAAAAAACAACCACAGTTTGTCAACAGCCTCATCATATCACATATTAAAGTACATCACAATTGCAATACTTTAAAACATTCAAAACAAAAAAAATTGTTTTAACTATCTGTAATTTTAGAAAAAGTGATGATGGTGGTAAAATACACCGAAACGTATTTTGATTAATAAATAGAGACAATAAATGACTGAAACCCAGGAATAGATTTGATTTGGAGTTATATTCATTTATTGATTAATTAGAGGCACTCAACAGCGGTTCACATCATTTTGTTCTTCGAATCGATCATCCGCAGCACGACGCTGGCCATTTTCGGGTCAGGCCCCTTCTGGAATTGTGCAGCTGAGTGATGAAGCTCGGTTTAAAGGGCGCGCTCTTACGTCATCGTCCTTCAGCCGGATCCTGGTCAAGTACAGGGAGAAATCGGCCAGGCAGATGATGCGGAAGACGTAGATCAACGACTGCAGCGCCCACAGGGCCGAAGTGAGCTGCACCCCGTAGCTGCCTATGAGGTAGTTCAGGTAGAAGGCCCTGGGCGGCCCTTTCTGATCCGCGCTGAACTGGACATTGTAGTGATCCATGCGCCTCGAACACCCCTTGGACTTGGTCAGGTCGAAATAGCGTGAGCAGAAGGCCGCCAGGCCCTTGTGATAGATGTTGTCGGCAATGAAGCAGAAGATCATCATGAAGGCGCAGAGGCCCAGAAACGGGTACACGCAGATCCAGGGGTTGGGCAAGCTGAAACATCCGGCAACAGTGCGATTTCAAACGTTACAAAACGCTCGTGTGCACCGGCCTTTAGTACGACTTACACTCAGATTAGACAGATGCATTTGTTTACGTTTCTCTATGGGAGCAACATTGGTTCACAGTCTATACAAAAGTAGGTACTTRCGARGCTGCGTTGCCGGCTCGSYATTCRATTTGATATATATGAGTGGCATCAACAAGAAAATAGCAGGAAAACGGTAGCCATGAATATATTTAGTGTCATATTTGCTTAGTTTGTAATAAGCGACAAGCAAATGTCATTGAAATAACCGCGTCGAAATTTTATATTTGAAAATTCATAAGAATTTTTGGTGGTAATTACCAGAAAACATAATGAAACACTCATCAAGGCAACACCGCAAAGGGGGGAGTACGTGATAGTGAAATGACAGTAAGAGGGGAATACGATTTGTTGACAAGTAAATACGGCATTTTCTCGTGTTTTTGGTGATAACAAGTGATAATCGTGATATTTGCAAACTGTTACGCTTAAAAGAAATCGTGCGAAGTCGTTTCAATTGCAGGAAAATCGTCCTAAATTTTCCTAACCTGTACTGTTTTGCACGATTGTAAACAGGGACCAGTGGGGTGAGTTGTTTTGAATTGATAAGCTAAGAGCCATATTCGATCCCTATTGAATCGCTATCAAATCCTTAAAAAAATTGCGTTACTATTATAGCGTTTATAATTTCAAACATGTCATGTAGAGATAAACGTCAGAAAATCAATGAATCTTTCATGCTTAGAATAAATCGATAATACAGATTTTTACTACGCCTATGGCTAGCAGCCAGGCCAGTTGATTTTCCGATTATTCTACTCTTTGCTCGGTGCCTACCTTATCCCTACCACCGGTTTTTCATTGACAAATCGCCGATCGATAGAATTTAACGTTGGACCCAAACAAATCGGGATTTATGAATGACTAGCTTGGTCTATTTGTTAATGTCTTTGGACTTACACGTCGCCCGGATTGCCCGCCCCTCCTTTGCCGCCCACGCCAATCAGAGCGCCCAGGAAAATCGCGATGATGAACGACGCCAAGGGGGCGAACAGCACCAGGTCGCACATGTACAGGGTGGCAAAGGCGGTTTTCCTAAAAGAGTCAATGACGTCAAGGACCAGTCAAGGCCCAACTGCTGTGACGTCACGAGTAGGCCGGCCCGCACCCAGTGACGTCAGGGCAGTCAGGCCGGGACTTGCGCGGTGCCGCCCTACCGCATGTTGAGAAAACCGGTATTGTTCACTCCGAAGCTGGCCTTGAGCGGCTGATTGCGTCGACTGTGGGCGCTCCCCAGGCGCCTGAGCAGCGCTTTGACGCTCTGCAAAGAGCCGACGGCGGGCTTTGGATCCAGAGGAGTATCCTTCGATCCAGAGGAGTCTGGAAGCTATCAAAATCGCACTAGGGATTGGGGATTAGAGTGTCACTAGCCTTTGGAGGAGGAGGAGTTTGGCGGGACGTCGTCGGCCAATGCGCGGGCTTGAAGCTGCGAAGTCACCATCCCGCCCATGTAGCATCATATATCGGGTATATATTTATACAATATTGGCAGAGCATTTTTATGTTGGGTCAATATTGTCAATTATTAGCCAATATTACT